CTGTAGCTTCAGAGGTAGAGCAGGTCGTATACTAACTGGAAGGTTGCTGGTTCGATCCCTGGTTGTCAAACATGCCAAATATCCTTCGGAAAGTTGCCAGGTTGCTCTCTGATGCTTCTATCGAAGAATGAATGTGTGTGATTGTTACATAGACAGATAGATAAGATAACTCTTTATTGTCATTGCACAGTCATCCATAGTACGATAGTGAAATGAGATCGGAAAATTGTCCCACGTCGGCACTACGTACAACCCAAAACAACACAACACAGAAACTTATGTAATAAAAATAAGAAGAATAAGCGTATGTGTATTGCACACTGTTATTAATGCTTGTGTGTGTGTGTTTGTGCGTTTATTTATTTATTTATTCAGTGCTTCTTCTTCTGTGGTGTAGCACAGCTGAAATGAAAGGTTCCAGCAGCTCTGAGCTGTTTGTTCTCCGAAGCTGCTGGATACAAGAACTGCATCAAAGAGCTTCCATTGTTACTGTTTTACTGTTCAGTAGTTTAGTGGTTGACAGAAACAGTTGTTTGAAGTTTGAATACAAAGATAGATCAGCAGATGGTTCTGATGTTTTTGTGGTGTGGTTGTATTTCCACAGCTGTCCTCCTGCCAGAATCCACTCTGAGTGCACTGCTGGACCAGCAGCGTCCACAGAGCCCACGGGCACAGTCGTCACTGCTTCCCTGCAGCACTGGAGAGCCCATAGCTCGCCACCATCATCTGCAGTGCCGTAAAGGCAGCTTCCTTCTCATCCCAGAGGTAAAGAGGAGGTTAGAGGACCGGCGAGGGTCAGAGCCGCTCCGCAGCTCCCAGGATTTGGAATCTCTCGGCGACTTGGAGGAACACTCCCTGGGGAATCATCACCACATGGAGGGCCACGGACACCACCTGCATCTGTCCAGCTGCCACGAATGTCTGGAACTGGAGAACAGTACTATACTCTCTGTCAAATATGCCTCCGCTGAGAATATTCCAGACCTACCGGATGATAACTCTGTTGGAAACGAGTGTCTCGATGAACTTGAAAATGATTCCCGAGGGTTTTTTGGTCAAAGCGGTGGCAAACTCCCAAATGTTCTCGTCTACACGGGGGGCTGTCAGGAACGTTTTCAGACAGTTCGCCAGCTTTTATCAGAATGTATAAACACGGAAAGTAACATCATCTATCCGCTCCAGCCAGAGCAGGCGCTGAATGATCCCTGGCTGGAAAACACAAGACTCCTGGTACTGGCAGAAGAGGAAACCCTAAGTCCCCAGCTTCAGACCCGCTTTCTCACCTACCTGAGCCAGGGGGGCAAGGTCCTCGGGCTCGCCTCTTCTCTGTGCCCTGCAGGACTCTGCCTGGAAGTCAGGCAGAGCCAGTGCATGCAGGTCAACAAGCTGAATTTCACCAAGGAAGACAGCACAGAGCTGAATCTGAGTATACTGGCGAGTGGGAAAGTCTACATCAGGGATCCTCGGGGGGGAGGAGAAGTTGAACTGTGGGGGGAGCTGAAAGGGGATGTCCCCCATAAGGATATGGTTATTGTACGACTGACCCACGGAGGGGACAGTGGAGAAGCTGTCCTTTGTCAGGTAAACCCATGTAAACCCATGTAAAGCATGCTATTCATTGTCCTTGGGGACAATGAATAGCATGCTTTTATTGAGGCCCGCAGTAGTGCTAACTAGGGCTGCCACAAACGATTATTTTGATAGTCGACTAGTCACCGATTATTTTTGCGATAGTCGACTAATCAGATCATCATCCATTGGACGTAAAAC